TTATGATGTATGTAAAAGGGGGCTAGAGTACTTAGATTAATAGGAATAAAGGGGGGTTTTTTGTGTATTTTTCCTGTTTACTTCACGCTGTGTGCTTTGTGTGCCCTCTCCTGGGGGGGCCTAGTGGGCACGCGGCTATGGGGGGGTGCGAGACGGCTGGGGACCCCGGCCCTCTCGGGGTATCGTATGGCCGCTCCGCCCCCGTATATAGCCGGGCTGGCCTTGGCCAGCCCATCCCAATAGATCTTCCCCTTATGGGCGTTCCGTCACGCAAGAGGGGATGCCGTAGTTAATCACGTGATTATGCATGGTACTTCGTTAATGGTCCAAGCAGTGTCCACGTCCAGCTGCATGCATGTCACCCTCCCGAGGCACATTTCAAGGCGGACTCCCGCTTCACATCTCCATGAGCACAAGCATCAGCAAACTCAAGTGATTTTGACCCAGGCTCATCGTAGCCTGCTGCGGATGCCTGGAACCTGCCTGGAGCCTGCCTCGAGAATGAGCTCATTGAGGCTGATATCTCCATCACTGCACTGCAGATGATGCCGCGATGTCCGAGACAAGACTCTTGCTGAGTGATCTCCGCCGGCCGACGCCTCGTTACCACCTCAAGCGGGTGAGATCTTGATGCTCGTCGTTGGGTCACACGATCCAGACGGGCGGAACCGAGCAATTACATTGGCCTTAATATGACACAGACACAACAATCAGCTTCACAGCAAGCCGTTGCAATTTGGCTGCAGCTAACCCTAGGTCTAGTGGTTTTCCTGAACCACAATGATGCTGGTGAGAGCAAGTCATACCATTCTATGCGGCTTATTGGCCGACGTCCTACTCCAACCAGCGAGAAACACCTAACCATGCAGCTGCCAGCCCAATGGGCAAAATGAGGCTTGCCAACATCTCCCTCCCCCTCTCTCTCTACATGATTAAATACCCCGCGTCAGGTCGTGATGTCAAGTGCAAGAGTCCGAGGTCTACCGCTCTTCTCTACCCAACCCTCCCTCCTCCGTCAAGCCCACCACCATGGCCGAGCTCAGCGGCGTGGCGCCCTCCCTCAATGTGCCGGGCATCGTGAACCTCGGGTTCCAGCTTGCCAACAAGCTGAACATATACGGCCTGGGGACCAAATCCCCAGACACAGACGTTCGATACCTTGTCGATGATATCTTCGGCACGGCCTCAACCCTCGCTCAGCTCTGGGAACATCTCAGCACTGACAAACAAGATACGTTTTCCGTCTACAAAGACGCCGGCCGCAGAGACGTTGAGGATCTCGCGGTCCGCTGCGGCAGGACTTATGTCACCATCATCCGCAGCGTCTACAGGGCCAGCTTGGCCGCCAAAGTCGTTGAGGACGTCAACTTTGAGACGATCCGCGTCGAGGACTTGAAGGCCGCCAGGCTCTGTGCCATCAACGCCAACATGAATTGGAACCTGGTCGAGGACGCTTTCGAGACTGCCGCGAAGCAGTTGCAGTGGCTCTTCGCAAGTCTTCTGCTGCACATGCAGGTCTTTGACGTTGCCCGTCTCCAAATCAAGTCAGTATTCCCTCTTAGCATCTTCAAATGATCATGCTAACGTAGACGCAGAGCTCCCAGAGCCCCAGGTAGCTTCGATGAGGAGCTCGCTTCAAGGGCATTGGCCAGCCGCCTGCTTCAGCAAAGGAACAAGAACGTCAAGACTCTCGTAGAGGACTACGAGAAGAAGGCGGACGAGCAGGCCAAGCGCGAAGCTCGAGCAGCCTACAAAGCTGCCAAGGCAGCCGAGGCTGCTGCAGAGGCTGAGGCCGCAAGCGTCTGCTCTGGTGATGACGTCGCATCGTGGAAGTCTGGAGAGACTGCCCAGGTCTCCAGGGCGCCTTCAATCTGCGGCGACAAGGACGACGGAGAGAAGAAGACCGCTCCTGTTGGGGAATCCTTTGCGCCTCCTCCCCCTCCCCCTCCCGCCTTCATTGAGCCTCCTCCACCTCCTCCAGTCATGGACTATCCACCACCGCCACCTCCCGAGCCCATCGACATCAAGCTTATGACGCCCAAGCGCCGCTTCCCAGCTAAGGTCTTCAACAGCATGGCCGAGTGGATGCGCGGCCTCTTTGGCCGCGGTCTCCCGCCCCTGGACCACTTGGAGCTGGAAGCAAGCATCATCCACGGTGGGTATCAGCTCCATAGCAAGAAGAAGCCTCCCATCCTGGCTTTCGAGCCGAAGACTTTGCTCCGCCAGCTCAAGCGCGTTCTCCGGAAGGTCGGAGATACTCCCGGAGACCAGCTGATCGGCCTTGATGCTCAGTTCCGTCTTGCTGTTCAAAACGCACCGCAGCGCGCGCAAAACAAGGACGGCCGCGTCAGGAACTTGATTGCTGTCGATACCCGCGGCATGCCCGAGTTCATTGTCGCTTACATGTCGATGGAGCCCGCTCTGGAGCCTATTCACTTGACTGACTCCATTGGCCGTACCATCGTCATGCCGTATGAGCAGTGCCGAACTCTGAAGGTAAACTCCACCACCCTTTCTTTGAAAGCAAGTATACTAATATCTCCAAGGGAGCCCGTAACATCATCCACAACCGCTTCCGCGACATCGGCAGAATGTGGCCGATGATCAGCCAGGGCGCCTTTGAGATCGTCAACGAAGATGACGTTGTCGTCACCCCGGCAGCCTGGGAGAACACCGTGAAGCCAGGCGCCGTCCTCTCGATGCGCCTCTCACCTTTCGCAGACAGTTCCGTCGGTCCGGACTGCAAGACCTGGGCAGAGCAGTATTTGGGTCCGCCTCCGCCTCCGCCAGGCATGTTTCCTCCGGGCTGCCGACCACCACCAGGCATGCGCCCGGGCTTCCACGGTGGCATGCCGCCGCCTGCGCCGCCAATGGGCAGGATGCCGCCGGGCTGGGCAAATGCTCCCAGAGTCATCAACGTCGGCCCCGCCCCCATCCGTCGGCGCCACGGCCCGCGTCCCCCATCTTCGTTGCTGAGCTGGATGGCCGGCTCCACGAACACTACAGACCGGGAGCTCGAGGAGTGGAAGCTCGGCTTCGAGCTGGACTTTGGCGGCCCGGAGCCGACAAGGGAGAAGGACATGGACGAGCAGACGTGGACCAACCTCGGCCGGCTCGTGGCGCAGTGGACTTATGCCACGGACACCGAGTTTAACACTGACTCGGGGACTATGCCGTGGTATGATGATGCTGCGACGACTCGGTCTTCTACTTCGGGTTCTTCTTCGTCTTCTTCGGATGAGATTGTGGATGACTGAGGGGGGAGGTTGAGATGAGGGGTCCCGAGGCTTTTGTACGAATCCGGTTCCTGTTTGCGTCTTGCTGCAGGCCATTCATTCTTTTGATCCTTCATTCCCATTACGCTTTGTCACGATATCGTTGGGGGGGGGTTGTAATCTCTATTCACGTCACCATATAATCTTATTCAATTGACACGCAAGATTTATTTGAGTAAGGTGCAAGTATCGCCTGACTCTGGTCTTTCATAGAATCATTGAGGCGTATTAGAAACGTGCTGCGGTAAGATTTCGCGCTTATGAAACTGGTTCTCATCGCTATCAGCCGGCGCATACTTCTCAACGTGAGCTCATGCTGGTCCGCTTGCTTATAGCTTGTCGTTTATTTATCCCGCTTTCAAGAACTTAAAGGCCCTGTATTTTCACTATCCATCGATCTGTTCATGACTGTCTAAAAGAAGGTCTGGGGCAGAGAGGCGACTGACAGCCGCCAGTGAGTGAAGGGTTGACATGTGCTTGTGAGGCAATTTCCTTGGAAAAGAGACGTGAATTGAGCTGTTGTCCTGCATGTGTCCCGCAAGGTACCTAAGGTAGGTTCGGTCACAGCACGATTTCCATCAGCTAGAGGGGGGTTTTAGCAGGGCGTGTTCATTCCCTACAAAATGCACATACTGCTTTGCTTCCATGGCCGGATTCCATCTGGAGTCCAAGGTAGGCGACGTCTCTATTGTGTGGCTGTACCTGGGACCAGATTCAACCTCGTCCCCTTAATGCTGAGGAGGTACATTTCAGCGTCGTGTTTGGCTACTTACCTAAGGTACCGTACTTGAGCAGGAAACACTGAACCAGGCCATAATTTCACGGTTGTCGATTGATCAGATTTCCTGTTTCTGAACAATTTCATTGTACGTGAAAAAAGTGCTAATTCAACTCCCCTCTGCATCGAAAGGACGGAATTCAAGGTTTGCTACTCCCGTACTGTCTGTGACTGTTGGGGTTCTTTTTTCGATCTAGAGCATTGGCTGCCTCTGAACGTCCCGCATCTAGTATGTCGCTAATTGGGCAGCCAGTCTGGGGAAGAACGAGGCAACGCTACTACCGGTACCTGACTGTGAGCATGTCACTGCCCGAGCCGTTAGGGACGTTCACCACTAGGTAAGAAGTTGTGATGATGTTCGCTTGCCCCACTCCACTACGGCCACTAGGTAAGGTAGGTAGAGCTCTCCCGGCAGACGGCGTGCGCAGTGGATCCTTCGGTACACTTTGCCCGCGCCGTTAGGGTGGATATCACCGCTACTTACCTAAGACATTTCCGCACGCTACCTAAGACATTTGCCGCTACCTAAGACATTGTGATGATGATGCCCCACTTTGGGGGAAAAAAGGTCGACAAGGAATGTGAAGGTGGCCGGCCGGCCATTGGCCACCACTGTCATCCAAATCGCAAACTTTTCATGTATTGGCTCAAATTGTCGGAACCTGGTCACCAACATCATGGAATGGTGCGGCGCCTTGTGACATCGGGACTCGAAGAGCCCCCATGTGCGCCTCCATTCTTTTCAGACAAAACAAACGCAATGTGAATCTACCATGGGATTATAAAGCTGTCATCTCCTCCTGCATGCAATTTCTTTCCGGTTTCCTCCTCCAAGCTTCTTTGTATCGACTTAGACTTGTGTTTCTGTTCAACTGAGATTTATCGCTGCCAGTCAGTCATTTTGCTACAGTGCAGCACAGCCGTCCGCGCCATCCCAACATTTTCCAATGCGACACCGCTTCAATGACCTGCTGTTCCACCTCCAGTCGAGCGATGCCCTCGCAGTTTTATTTCTTTCGACTCAAGAGAAGAGACATGGTTGGGTTTCGACGATTACAGTGAGGTAGGTTGTTCGTCTGAAACCTCTCTCGTCGAAACTCAAGCTGACAATACTGTCGAAGTGGGTTGATATTGTGGATATGTCTCTCGTTCATCTTAGTCCTACAATTCAGAGGGTACTTGGTAGAGTTCGTCACATCTTATCGCAAGTATCAGGAGTTTTCATAAAAGCTTACAAGATATAGACGGGCCCCATGGAGTGTCATCGCCATTGTTGGACCAGTTTCTATCTGGGCCGCGATAGTCAGCGCCAAAGGTATCGACTTCTACTATGCTGGTCTGTTCACCCCCCTCTGGATCACAGTTGGCCTGAACATCCTTGCGATCTATGATGGCAAGAACCGCATCACAGTCCGACAAGCTTGGAAGGACAAGATCGATCTCGAGAGCGGGTCCCATCATGTCACAGGCTCTGATAGTGCCTCATCAAGACGGGCTCCTCTGCGCGCAACTCAGAGCATCCCTTCGACGACTGTTCATCCCTGCTAAGCACAATTTCGAACAAGCCATGACACAACTTTGCTTTCAGCGAGCGCCATAACATTCTTCACCTCGGCTAAAACCTCACGTCCTTGATTCAGTGCACGGCCGAGGTAGTGTGCTGACAAGATATCCACCGGATACACTCATTTTGGATATCGATGCGGCTTTGTTTTCTGACATATTCCATTCATCTTCCCTTCATATCATTACCATTCTCATTCGTTCCAAAGACTATGTGGCTGCCGTTCAACGCGAAGCTTTCGGTGAAATGGGTACTCAACATGCCGGCGTATATGTCCGCAAAGGGGGCATCGCAGCATTTGATGCAGTGGCGGCTTTGCAATTTCAGGTGGCCTCATACGAACAACATTCGTCAAGAACAGGAATCTGTAAAATTGTACATTGCCGAGCATAAAAGTAATGATCCTTTAGATACTAGGTAGAGGTTACATAGATCCAAGACATGGTGGCTATGAGGACCGTGAGGTCTGAACCACAACACACTGCATTCCAGACTCTGACACGAACAGTGTATTGATTAAAGGTGACTCTTTTTCTCTAAAAGAAATATTAAGTATTCAGAAATAATAGAGTCTCGCAAATCGATTTCCAGCTCTTAAGAGGGACGAAGAACTGAAGGGCACAAGAGAGGTACACAGGACAATAATGATAAGAAGACCGATTACGAACGTACTCATGTGATCACGGTTAAGACTTAGCACACTTCGAGATATTTTTTAGCCTCCTCAGACGACGCTTGAAGTGTTCATTCAGCCTTGAGTTGTTAGGAATAGACTTTCGGCGTTGACCGATGCGGATATCAGGTCGGGCCCGGCGAAGTGGGGCCAATGAGCCGGCATCAGCGGGAGGGGTGGGGTAAGTCATCGGAACACTCGCCTCCTTGGGTTGCTGGTCAAAACACCGTGAATGATATTAAGATGACAGAGGAGCAGACTTTTACCTGTCATTGGTCTAGTTTACTTCGAGAGATTGGTCAGAGAGAGCCGAGGCTTGCAGGAAACAATGCGGGAGCCGTTAACGCCCGAAGACCACTACCTCGAGGTAAACATGGCCTCTGGCGGCAGGGACAAGGGTGTCTTGAGTGTTCTCTTCCTTGATTCCACCAGCGCCATTGCCCGTGGCATCCAACCAGATTCAAACGCCTTCGCAACGCGCATTAGTAGACGAAGCATCGATGAGTATCTCAAAGGCTACTGGCCCACGCAGTGAGGTGCCTGGCAGGGGTTTAACGCCTCGTGATTTACTAGCGTTGGCGAACCAGGCGAACCACTCAACAGACTGCCACTGAAGGCACTCTTCCAGAACACTTAAAGACAATTGGACCCAGTTCCGAGACAATCCACATGTTTTGGATCGTGGAGTGTGGAGGCTGGGTTTGGGGGGCCATGATCGTTGCGAAAAGCTTCAACATTTGGAAACGAAGCCAAGAATTTGAGCTCACTGGTCCTTTTTCATTGCTTTTACCGTCGCTCTTCTTAGAAGCGGATCTACTGTAGGGTTACCGACAGTCTCAGCAATCGTCACTGTATACTCTTCGAACGCATTCATCTCTTAGTCCTCACGGCACCAAAAAACCATTCGACTGATCACTACCACATTCATGGATTCAGCGATGCATGCTCAGCTGCGCGAGTTCTTATTCCACATTCAAACAAGCGACGCTTTCGCCATATTGTTCTTTGCGACGCAAGGAGACAAATATGATTGGATTTCAATAGTCACTCTGAGGTATACCACCACGCCAAGCCTGGCTTCTGTGTTAGCTTAACCGACACTTACTCGTTAAAGCGGCTTAATTGTATGGATTCTCACTTCCTTCTTTCTCATTCTAGAGTATAAAGAGTACCTGGTTGAGTAAGTGTACCGTCCCCGAACATGACAGTCTTCAAGATCCTGACCACTCATAGGAGAGCGCCCTGGACCATTATAGCAGTCCTAGGGCCAGTCTTCGTATGGTCCGCTATCGTCACTACCAAAGAAATCGACTTCTACTATGCAGGGCTTTTCACTCCAGCCTGGATCGGAGTTGGTCTCATCATTTTGGCCGTCTATGATAGGAGAAAGTGCCCCGGACACCTCGATGGAGCCGGGAAAGGTCAGGATGACGTTGAGAGAGGCATTCGCCGTCGGGATTCAAGTGCAAATGAGACTGGCGGTGCCCCGACAAACCTCAAACCTCAAGTTCCAAAGACAAATCCTCACTCATCGACAGAGTCGTCCCAAACTCATCTCATATCACAGCCCGTTGCCGGAATGGGTCGAACAACAACAAAGTAGTCCGCCAAAGCCGACCAAGCTGAAGTAGGCTTCGTCCCGGAGGTCAACGTTGCGACGATGAAATGGAAAGCGTGCCTTCAACTCGCCGAGTATCATCACCAAACTCTGGATTGCATCGGACTTTGTTACATGAGCATCACGACTTCTTTCTGGCATCTCAGCATTCCTTGCGGCATTCCTCCAGGGTAGCAACGTCACTGAATAGCACGAACTCGCCGGATACATAATATGCAAGCGATTTCAGTGGCATGGAAACCACCCCTTTCTGGAACTCTTCCGGCATCGCCTTCCGTCATTGCACGAGTATATGCTCACGTTCATATACCTGGCATATCCCATGATGGCCGGCCCTTTCACGTACCTTTCATCCTATGGGCCACTGAACAACCTTTTGCTACGGCGGTGCGGGAAGCCATTGAAAGATAACGCCAATCGGGAGACTTTCCAAGCTCGCTTCGAACCTTGGATGTATCCCGTTCTTCGGACGGACTAAGATCAACTTACCCCGTCGTTAGGAAGGTTCATGGCTATGTATGTCAGTTCACGCCAAATCCTACCTTCGACTCGACCACATCGAGCAATTCATATAGAGTCCAACAGACCTCTGGACTTGTATTTCTCATGCTCGTCGGCGTGCGCGTGGGTCATGACGCTGTCTGAACTTGACTTGAGTGGTCTGCGGATAGAATAGCGGTAGTCAGTGGCTCGGTATGGGGTTCGCACACCAGCATGCTCCAAGGTCGACAGCCACACTGGCCAGAGTACCAACAATAGAGCAGATGACATGACACAATACTGGAATTTAATCCTTTAGACCATATTATAGAGACTTTTTAGTACAATTGACTTGTTAAATCGCAAATACAAGATCTTTCTCCGTCAAAATACCATGCATTCGCCTCTCACCTTTTTACACATTCGTATCATGCACAGTTGCTTCAAGTCCGTCCATTGCCCTTTTCAAAACCGTTAGCCCCGAGTCTCCAAGCATTCTTCCAACAACTGGCTTTCCGTAGCGAAGCTCGGCGACGAAGGAAAGTGTTTCGAACTAGCTTCGATGACGGCAAAGAGGATAGACCGCCTTCATTGGCTGGCCTAACCAACACCCACTCATCAAGTACCTCACACTTCCAACAGATGTATTCGAGAGGATATATCTACGTGATATTCACCTGAATTGACGATGTCCTGATTATCTTTTGCCTCCAGACAGACGGAAAGGCAGTTGTCTAAACGCGTTGATGGTGTGCTTATTCAGGGGCTGCAGCGGCAGGACAGCCATCGAGCAGAGGCTAGTTGAAAACATAAACGCAAGCCAGCTCAAGTGAAGTATCAACCAAAATAGACTCGTCTATTCCTGGTCTGCGGGAAAATTTCATTTCCTTGGCCGGACCACGAGCCGATTCGAGCTCCCTGGTGCTTACATCGTGATCACTAACATTGGCGCCCTCTTCGAATACGGCATCGAAGACGACGTGGTCATGTTCTAACCACAGTCTAGCAACCATATCACATCAACAGTCTTCATAGACAAACGCTGTTCTTCTTCCACTAAGCCACCGGTCGAGAGATGGTAGCCTTAGGTCCACCTCACAACTGCCAAGATACTTTGCCTTTAGACAGCAACCCCGTTAGGAGGGATGTCGATTCCATCCGTACTGTAGCAACTGTTGAGTCGGACAGCTCTTTTATCAAGATAGAAAAACGCCAGACCCTTTGCCTGAAGATTGTGCTATGCGAGGTTTGCCTTGGGCTGAGGTGTACTTCCCACCCGACTGGTTTACAGCATGTGCAACTAACGAGAGATATCAACCTAAACGAACCTTTTTAACGTAAACTGGAGCTATTGGAATAAGCATATTTGATTTTTTGACCGTCTACACGTGAGAAGAGGCTCGATGGACAAACACCACGAACAGCCTGCCGAGCAAGTTGCAAACCTGCGATGAGAACTCGAGACGCTCAACTTTACGTCTAACATCAATATATTTCCATTAAACGGTAGATATTATCAAAGAAAGGAAGACCAGCAACCTAATACTGCAAAAACTCAGGTCTTGGTCGATCCGCGATCGCAACAACCCGACACCAGCCAACACCACACCTGAGCCACACTGCAAAACACAGCCGACCGCACCACTCCCTTCCATGCCCGAATCCAACATCCCGAAACGCATTTCAACACATATCTCGGCCGTAATGAACATTCGCAATATCAACCCATCCTCGTAGACAACGCCTGTGACCTCTCCCTCCGCCGGGCCACCTCAAAACACCACCGGACCTCCGTCCCGATCCCCGCTCCGGGGCCCCATCCGCCCCACATATTTCCCCGCCAAGCCGTGCCCCCTCCGATCCCTTCCCGATCATTCATTCCCCCCGATGCAATACAACCGCACAATCACATCCCCCAACCCAAGTCCCCGGATCCCGCATGTCCAAGACCGTCCCAAGAAATTTAAACCGCCGAAATCAACGTCAATCGAAGAATTTGACAGACAGACAACATTTCCAAGCCGCCGAGCCAAGATAAGTCATCCACAGCCCCTAAATCCCAGGCCCCGAAAAAAAGGTCCCATGCTGACATCCCACTTCAACCTTTTGGCCTATCCACGGGATGTGGGCGCTGGCTCGTCCAAAAGGGCGTGAGATGCAAGATGCATGCTGAGGTCATACCCAATCTGCTCGACCTCCCCCTCCCCTCCCATCTCCCACCGGCAGGCCTTCACCCTGAATGGTGCGCCACGCCCTTGGCCTAACGGCCCTCCCACTCTTTCCTGTAAGGCTCGAACAAAGAAAACAATGACCCTCACCAAAAGTCCAGAATCCCCGCCGCCGCCGGCCCAAAATACAAATTCCCGAAGTCCCCGGTCTTACTCAGACCGCAGACCCAGTACCATGTCTCTCCCCAGCCAACCAACAAACAAGTACCATGTCAAATCTCACTGCATGCATCACGCTCTCGCACAACGAATTGTACTCCAAGGAATTTTGACAAATTCTACCCAATACTAAGTCCCAAAAATATTGTTCGCCGTCCAGATCTAGATGCCATGCCACCCAAGTAGATACCAACAAATCCCATCTTCATGAGAGGTATCTAAAAGAAAAACTCCAGCTCATGCATGCATAACAGACTATTACTTTGTGGCTTGCTCAAAACCCCAAAATGGCGAACGCGACATCCCAAACGCCCAAATAACCCAATCATATATGCTCTGCTTTATGTGCCCCAAATCATGTTCGCTTTCGTGGTCAACCATTAGTAAATGAGTGCTGATGAGTGGATAAAAAAAAAGCCTCCGCGGTGGTGTGAGTGAGGAGAGAGCGTGTGTGGTGCGGGAAGGGTGGGCCAAGGCTCAGGGCAAAAATAAGCCATAAGCGCCCAAAGTGCCCCGGCCGGCACCGCGGTAGTGCGCGAATGGCTGTGCGACGCAACCGGTGGGAGAGGAAAGAGCCCCAGTTTGCAAAACGCCGAAGTGGGTGTGCTGCCAGCCCTGCTGAAATGACGTTTGGGCTTGTGCCGGCCGGGCGTGGTGTGCTCGTGTTCCCGCTGCCGGTGTTTGTGGACGGAGCTAAGTGGACGCCACTGCAGCTGTCACTGCTGCCTATGTGTGCCATCTTCAGCCTCGGGCTTCCTGAGAGAAAAGGCCATTTACAAGCCCGAGTCGTGCTTTGGGTAGAAGCTTGTTGGGTAGTAGTCCTTCCAGCCCTTGCAGGTGGGCTGGAGCTCCTCGAGCTGCATCGTGTGGGCGATTTCGTCCTTGCGCTCGAGGAACTGCACGCTGAGACCCATGCTGACATGCCAGGCGATGTGGCAATGCATGAGCCACGCGCCTGGGTTGTCGGTCTTGAAGGCGATCACCATCCAGCCGCTGGCAGGAAGCACCGCGACATCTCTGCGGATGGGGTTGTGGAAGTTGAGGTTGGGGTGAGTAGTGGTTGCGTACGGTCCGGTGCCGTTGGTAACTGGCGGGTTGCTGTCGAGGAAGGAGCCGTCACCAATGCCGAGGAGGAGGAAGTCGTGACCGTGAAGGTGGATAGGATGGGGGAGGAGGTGGTCGTTCTGAATGACCCACCAGGTCCATTTGTCCTTGGAGTCGAGCTCCACAACGTTGGCTCTCTCCATGAAAGTGTAATTCTTCTCGGCGACGTAGGTGAGGGTGGGCTTGTCCCACTCGATATCCATAGAGTGACCATTGACAGTCCAGCGGAAGACCGGCTGACCGTAGACTTCGGGCGTGGTGAGGTTCACGTCGAGAATGTTCTTGTGGGGAGTGAACTCGGAGGACGGCGGAAGTCTAGTGACGATCGGCTCAAAACCCACAGTATCGGCGCAGCCGGCCTCAATGGGGTATCCTGGTTGGGTAGGGAGTCCATCGGCGGCGCCCTCATAAGTGAAGATGGAGGCAGGAAGAGCAACTTCGGACGTTCCGCAGAGCCCCGTGGCGCTGAGAGTCGCGTTGAACCAGTAGTTCTCAACCTCTTGGTTGGCCTCGATGATCACATCGTAGCGCTGACCGACGGACAAGAAGAGGCTGTCCTTGACGACGGGCTTGACGGGCACGAGATCGGTAGCGATGACAGTAAAGCTATGTCCAGCCAGAGAGACGGTGAAAGTGTTATCAACAGAGGTGTTGATCAGTCTGAGGCGATGCTTCTTGCCAGGCGTAAGCTTCGTCTTTTGGTACTCGCCGCCGCCCATAGCATTGACGCCCTTTCCGTTGAAAAGAACGTTTTGACTGTCTGGAGGAGGGCCAGCCAGGAGACCAGCGAGTTCAGCGCGTCGCTCGAGGTTATCAGCAGTGTCGTGGTACCAGTCGCTGATGGCATAAGGACCGAGGTCAATGTCGTAGTCAGCAGACGCCGGGCCGTTGATCTGAATCGTGCCGACGACGCCGTTGCCGTACTGGGATGAAAAGTGGCTGTGGTACCTGTGTAGAGCTTGTTAGTCCATGGGCCCACAATCTTCAACAAAGGAACAGAAACATACCAAGAAG